AATACGAATCGATAGGTTTTTTTAATAGCTACAACTTTCTTATTTAACTTTTTTCCATTGGAGTTCAATTTTTTTTTATTAGCGAAAAACCGTCTTTTTAACTTTTATGAATTTTTTAGGTTAACTTCGCCGTTTATGCGCCATAGAAAAACATTATCTTTCTTAGAATTTTTTTTTTGTACCACCTGTGTTTCAAATTGGACTGTATTTTTTTTATTATTACTGGTTCATTGGCATATGATTCTAATTGTCGGCACAAAAAATAACTGAGAATATGAAACATAAACAAAAATCGGTGGTTTTCTTACCTTAAAACTAGGCGTCTTATTGCAGGAATTTTCACACCCACGCACTTATATCGCAGGCTGATACCGGCCGGTTTTGTAATGGAAAACACCAGAGGTTTTTGATAGCGGAATAATAACGAACACAAGAGAGCGTATAGATTCAAAGAGAGTCGCCATTCAAGTCCATTATTTCGAGTTGTCGCCAATAGAGGCGTTGAAAACCACCAGTTTTACTCGGTAACAACAATGAACAAAAATATATAAATTAAAGATTCTTAGAATAATAATAACAGTTAGAAATAGAATATAATATATATANCAACTTTCTTATTTAACTTTTTTCCATTGGAGTTTTTTTATTAGCAAAAAACGGTTTTTTTACTTTTATGAATTTTTTAGGTTAACTTCGCCGTTTATGCGCCACAGGAAAACATTATCTTTCTTAGAATTTGGTTTCTCAGATGGTTTTTTTGTAAGCTCTTCTACCTATTGATTGAACTATAAAGCTATATATGTAACGCACTAATTTTATATATTTTATAATTTTCGTTAAATTTCTTAATTTTTTTAGTTATTTATATTTTTTCTTATGTTTTTCTTGTTTTATTAAAAATATTTCTAAAAAAAATTAATTCACTGTACCTATTTCTACCTATAATTTATATTTCTCCCATCTTCTCTCTCATCTTGCCCTGCCCTAGCCCATTGGCTGGCGACGCCCTTGGTGCAAAATAATTTATTAGTATTATATTGAACAGTGACTTATGGAATAAATAAAAATAAAATATTATGACATGTAAGAGATGTAAAGAGGGGGGAATATGCGAACTTTAAGTGTAAAAGGAAGGTAAAAGTGGATATTTCCTTAAAGTAGGAAAATTGATTGAAATTACATTGGCAACGTTGGATATGAATGATTTTAACAGATTTTTAGGTAGTCACTACTTTGAAAAAGTGAAAAAAAAAAGATAATAATTCTTCAGTCCCCAGTGTAAATCTGTGTTTACATGAATACAACCTCTTTAGTCATTGTCGAAAAAAATATAAAAAATTGTTAATTGCTCCATCTGGAATAAATTTTGAGCATACCTGTGACTTAGGTTCACAGGAAAATTGACATGCAAACAAAAAATATCTCAAATTGGCTTTTGATCGATAGCGGATACTATTCAAGCGAAACTGCCACATAAAAACCGAAGATCATTGTCTGTTGCTAAGGAACGAACGGCTCAATCAACGAACTTGGAACCTGTTCTCGCCACATTTTTTTTTATTATTATTGACCCACATTGACGTTATCTTCGGACCAGGTTAGATTCAGATCGTTCAACCTGCTCCACAATGGAAATATCTATCAGCAAAAAGACGATCGTCCAGTTGTAAATAGCGTATCTGTTTCTTGTTTACTATTTGTGATGTCTCGTGGCCTTTCTTGTTCGTGGAACAGAGTACAACGGGCATTCATCACTTGTCAGTTAAGTTTTAATGAACTTGTGAGTCAGCGGTTCTCAAACTTTTTTATCGTTACACGATGTTTACATGTTTTGACGCGATTTGTTTATTTAAGAGATATTTTTACGATAACTAGTGTTTATACGTATCAACAACAGAAACTGACTATCGTCTGGCTAGTTTTATACAGAGCGCTCGAAGTTAATCTAGTCACCGTGGTTCATGATACTCGTATATACATAATTGGCAAGGGTGCAATTTAGGGGGTTGAAACATTTTGTTCCTGTTCTTTTAAATGTAAATAAGATGTTGTAACCAAAGTGTATTAGTCCGAGAGTAAATCGTACATTCCAGGTTCGTAGGTACTTTTTTATCACATGACATAAAGAGAAATAAACATGTTTGTACAAGTATAATTTTGTACATAACAATAAGATGGAAATAAATAAACTGACCATGTTCACAGGAAATTAAAAAAAAATCAAGATTAAAATGCAACAGTTGAACTAGACTGTAGTTCAACTGTTGCATTTTACTCTTCTTAATTTAAATCTTCTTAATTTAGAGACTGGTATTCTCAATTTTAATATACATAAAAAATCGTCACCCGATTCTTCCATAAAGGATCTACTCGTCTCTTGTCTACTATTTTCGCTAGACTTTTTAGTACTGTATCCAAATGACTTTTTTGTAGTTGTATTCCTGTTCATATCTTGCCCTAAACCTTTCTGGCAGTAAATCATATGTTGTTTCGTTTACTATTTCTAATATCACCCCTTCACAATCGCCCGAATTCTTTTTTCAAAGTTAAGCACGAGGTGCTGTAAAAAATAGAAACAGTACGGTGAGTTTATCACGGCGCCGACGTATTGTTTATGTCCTCGCAGCGAAGAATAAATAGGCCAGGAAAAAGAGCTGGGAAATGACCATTTCGCGACTTTTTGTTTCGGCAAGCTGAATTTATCACTATAGATGCTAAATATTATGTACAATAACATATTAGTTTCCACAGTCATAAAAATGGGGGGAAGATTGTTTGCAGGGTGGTTAATTGTATAATTTTTACGTAAGTTCACGTTTTTCGCTTATAACTTTTTTCGTTCATTTTCACGAGAAAACAATAAACTACTTTTTTTTCGTCTTCAAAAGACCTACAAAACTAGTCCTCGAGCGTAAAAAAATATTGATTAGATCAAAAGTTATAAACAGAAGGAGTTTATTTATGATTTTTAAATTAAACATTTATAAACTGCGTTATTATTACCAGAACGTTTTGGCGTCGCATCCTCTCATTCCTTATCACTGTCTAATAACTCACACGAAATCTGGAATCGGTAAGTTGAATAGTTTACAAGTTATGGCCTTATAAACAAATTAATTAATTATTAGCCTATACGATCCCGAGCATCTTCCATAATCGCACTGATTTTTTTCATGGTAGATTTCATAATAATACATTGAAATTTATCTTTTTTTTTTTATTTAATATTTGCAACCTGGTTTTTTTTTTATTTTTTAGCCTTAAGTACAAAATACGACGCACGCGCGTGATATAGTTATATATTATTACATATTCAGAAAGCTTATGAAAAGAGCTTTAAGTTAAAAAAAATCGTCAAGATTTGTTGAAAAACAACGGAGTTACAGACTGTCAAAATTGACGGCCTATTGTTAAACAAATTAGGTTGGTAGCGGCAAAAAAAGTACTTTCCCAGATAAAAATATTTTATTTGTGGAAGTATGTTAAGTGCATAAGAAATATTGTTAAAAGTCAGAGGGTCGTTTGAAGGGTGGGGGTAGCAAACGGCAGCGAGTCCGAAGAAAATGAGGATAATATTCATAGTCATACCGTTAAAAAATGGAAATTCGCTTGAAAATAATATATTTGACAGTCTGTAACTCCGTTGTTTTTCAACGAATCTTGATGATTTTTTTTTTAACTTAAAGCTCTTTTCCGAATATATATTAATATATAACTATACCACGCGCGTGCGTCGTATATTTCATTTTGCAACTAAGGTTAAAAAATAAAAAAATTTCCAGGTTGCAAATTTGAAATTAAAAAAAAAGTTAGATTTCAATGTATTATTATGAAATCTGCCATGAAAAAAAATCAGTGCGATTGTGGAAGATCCTCGGGATCGTCCGGACTAATAATTAGTTAATTTGTTTATAAGGCCATAACTTGTAAACTATTCAACTTACCGATTCCAGATATCGTGTGAGTTATTAGACAGTGATATGGAATGAGTGGATGCGATGCCAAAACGTTCTGGTAATAATAACGCAGTTTATAAATGTTTAATTCACGTCGTAAATAAATTTCTACTGTTTATGACTTTTGATCTAATCAATATTTTTTGACGCTCGAGGGCTAGTTTTGTAGGTCTTTTGAAGACGAAAAAAAAGTACTTTACTGTTTTCTCGTTGAAATTGACGGAAAAAGTTATAAACGAAAAACGTGAATTTACGTAAAAATTATACAATTAACCACCCTACAAACCATCTTTCCCCTATTTTTATGACTGTGGAAACTAATATATTATTGTACATAATATTTAGCATCTATAGTGATAAATTCAGCTTGCCGAAATAAAAAGTCGCGTCCAACTCTATATTTCCTGGCCTATAAAATTTAAGATTTAATGAAGGTTTAGACAAGTTAGGATGATTATATTATTGTTAGTAAGAAAGAGGTAGTTGTCAGCAAATACAAAATTTCAGGCCTTATCAAAAGGCAACAGTAGTCTAACGTTTTTAAGGTTTCATTTTCACTTTTGTTCCTGAACTCTTGCTAATTTTATTTTATTTTAAACAAGTGGACACTACTGTATGCCCAGCGAAATAATTGCTATTCTGTGTACCTATTACAAAATCATCAATTAAAATAAACTGTTTTATTTTACTTCGTATCAGCGTGGTGTCATGAATTGTTTCCTGGTTTTTACGTCAAACATGATTTATTTAGGCATCTTAGATCTAACAGGAGATTTTGCATTCTGATATTTTAAATTTCCCCCTTTCGAATTCATATTAACAACACCTATTGTAATTGGTAATTGGTAATAGAAAATAATCAGAGGCCTTGATGACTTTAACAACTAAATTGATACTAGGCCAAATTCTATAATATAAATAAATTTAGTATTGATTTAGATCATTTACAATACCAATATTTCAGGTTAGGTCAGATAAAATTTGGTTTAACGAACGTACTTCTTTGTAAATGATGCCTTCTTAATGCATTTTTATCTTTTTCAGGTGAAGGATGCTACTGCAGCGCTCATAGTCGTCTTCCTCCTCTTCATCATACCCGCTCACCCGGATTTCATCTACATCTTCAGTAAGGACGAATCCAAGCGGCCCAAAATAGCCTCTAAACCCCTAGTCACCTGGAAGATCATCCAGCAGAAGATGCCTTGGGGACTGATATTCCTTCTTGGCGGTGGTTTCGCTCTAGCGGAAGCCTCCAAAGTCAGTGGGATGAGTCACATGATTGCCGAGCATCTTCGAGGGTTCGCCTCCTTGCCGAAGGTCTACGTCATGATGATTTCTGGATTAATGGCCACCATCTTGACGCAGTTCTCGAGTAACGTAGCCGTGGCTAACGTCGTTCTGCCAGTTCTAGCTGAAATGTCTTTGGTAAGCTTTTTTTCTTGTTAGTTTCTAGGACAGAGTTACTGTATTATACATGTTGCAGGTTGCCAAGATTCATCCCATGTACCTGATGATGCCTGCCGCCCTTTGCTGTTCATTCGCCTACTGTCTGCCGGTGTCCACCCCTCCCAATGCTATAGCGGCAGCTCCTTGCAGTATGCCATCGACAGAGATGGTCAAAGTAGGTCTTGGGATGTGTATCATCTCTATGGGCGTTTTGTTCGCAGTTTTCCCCTTCTACGGAGCGGTTATTTGGGATTTTAATACTTTCCCTGACTGGGCGGTTGAATGAGAAATCGTTTTAGTGAAATTGAGTCTAGGCCTGAATTCGTATCGGTTCTCGAATACTAATGCTTTTCAGTAGTCGATAGTCAATAGGTATTCATAAGTATAAAAATCATTTCGGGAAACGACATCACTGCTATTTATCTAAATATATATTATACATATATATATATATTTCTATAAAGACATATTTTATCCTAGGTCTTCCTGCCAAACATTGTTAGTTCAGTAGTTCTGATAATAAATATGCGTCACGCATTCGATTTTAGCATTATAATAAGTATTATAATAATTTATTGTACATGGAATTATGATGGTTCAAATAATTTACTAAAATGAAATTAGTTTTTACGCTTTAAACATGTCATAAACTAGGTAAGGTTGACTATTTAATATTTAAATAGAATAAACAATTTTATATTTGTGAGGCGTCATAATTGTAAATTAAATAAATGATGAAAAATATAAATGATTTTTAATTCGTTAATTTAATTTAAAAATATCAGCACTAGTTGATCACCTCCCGTAACATAAAAAAAAGTACAAAATTAGTTAAGTACTCCTCGTATACATTGGGAACATAAATTTATTGTTTTAGAACTTTAGAACTAAATAAATATGTAACGCAATGTGAAGAGTAGAAACAAATCAGTCTTTTATTTAAGTGTGCATCGTGATTCGCTTATTTTAATCCAGTACACATTTCCTACCAATCATATTAAAGGTTAGAGAAAGACAGACATATGAGAACTGTAGTTATTTCTGTATCGTGGCAAATAAATATACCTATCTATCAATTTATGATGTTCCGTTACCATGACATGTAATTTGACAGAAGGGTTGTTTTGTAAACAAAACTATTGAGTTTTCTATGCTATTGAATTTATTTTTATTAAGGTTAGATTAGAATAATAGTTAAAATTTTGCAAATCTTATATAGATTCTTTAACAGTCATATCGAATTAAGAAAATAAAAAAAATAATGGAAGCCACAACCCTAGATCTAAATAGCCCGATTTGTAGAGCTTGCTTGAAATTAGATGCTAAAAACAGTATTTTCTCAATACATAATCCTACAGCTTTATCTTATTCCTATATGTTTACTTCTTGTATTTCAATCCAGGTACTTTGGATGTGGTATAAAAAAATTGTGTATATTTTAATGTACTTTCTTGTGTACAGGTGAATTCAGATGATAGTTTGCCTAAACAAATGTGTCGGAAATGTTTAAACACGATAATAAACTTTTACATATTTAAGACAAAGGTTGTGCAAAATGATTTGTTATTGAGACAGATCCTTAAAACTGAAAAATTAAATGAAAACTCGATATTAGAAGATAAGAATGTATCCAGTCAATCTTTGAATGTGAATTTTCAATCTATCGAACACCCAAATCCAAAACCTGTTAGTAGATTGGAATTTATCAAGTCTCAAACTGTGGAAAATCAAGATTATGTAGACAGTGAAGGAAGCGAAGATGATCAGAATTTAGATGAATTCAAAGAACAAGTATATGTTAACAAAGAGAAAATTCATCAGTGTGATGTTTGTGGCAAAATTATAAGCACAAAGAGCAATCTTAACCAGCATTATCGGAAACATACTGGAGAGAGGCCGTATGGCTGTGACGCTTGTGGAAAAAAGTTTTTAAAAGCTGAACATCTAACAGTTCACAAGAGAACTCATACAGGTAAAGTGAACGGCATCTTTATGTAATTTATAGTTACATAAATGTGGTTTTAGGAGAAAGACCACATCGTTGCATGGTTTGTCCCAAGTCGTTCAAACAAAATGGGGGACTAAAGGCCCATATGCGTGTTCACAATGGCGAATGCCCCTTCATTTGTTACATTTGCGGCAAATCATTCAATCATTCAAGCAGTTTGCGATACCATAAACAAATACACTCTAGTGAGACGCCTTACACATGCGAAACCTGTCAGAAATCGTTTAAAACTGCCAGGTATCTTAAAATTCACAAGAGGTACACTTGATTCTATAAATAAAGCTGTATTATTCTTATTTTTCTATATCACTTTTAGATTTCACGATGATAAAAGACCTTTTTCTTGTAAAATCTGCGACAAAAAGTTTTTTACTAGTTCCCACTTAAATGTCCATATGAAACGGCATAACAACATTACATCGCATAAGTGCATCATTTGTGGTAAAGGTTTTGTAAGGCCGCAGCATTTGAAAATGCATTTGGCCACACACACCGGCGAAAAAGCCCACACCTGCGAATTGTGCCCCAAAAAGTTTACGCAGGCCAGTCATCTCAACCGACACATGAAAATTCACAAAAGAGCATTGTGAAAAATGTAGTACAAAATAAATAATTACACTGTGTAAAAAGTGTTTTAATTCTATAATAAAACATACAAACTTGTCTGGTACAGCTAAAATCTTGGTTTTATTTATCGCACATATAACCCTTGTTCATTGCTAAAATACAAATGTATGTCTATTATAGAATAACATTCATTCAAGTCCTTGTTTTTGCATCTAATATCGAGTTCATGGCACAATATGTAACTGATAAACATATTACAACTCTCTTGAGAAATTAAATATTTGCCGCCTTATGTTTGCCCACGATTGGTCAAGATCTGACGTTGTCGCTTACCATTGGCCGTTTTTTCCTCTGTGTCATCAAATCGTGGTCCAATACAAACGCGCCAACGTAAACTGACAGTTCTGGACGTTTTCCTAAAACTTTTTATTCTGTCAACGTGTAAGAAAGCAAACAAATAGTAGAGGCGCCGTTGGTGATAAAAAATAGTCAGTTTATATCGTTATAGAATTAGGTAAGCATCATATAGTATAATTAAATTAAACTTTATTGATACAATTCCCTGGCTAATACATAAAGTGTGCTTTTAAAATTATAACCTACCTTTCGGAAAACTGTTCAATGTATTTTCTGTCCCACAGCTTTAGTATACTATAAAATGGAATTTCCGGCTATATTTTTGGTACTTCTTGCAACCGTGGCAGCTGTGAGTAGTTTAAAGCCTGGAGAATGTGAAGGTGAGATTAATTTAAATAAGTTGAAGGTACGAAGGGCTTAAACGTTCCTTTTTCAGTTTGTATAAAGACGCTAGATAAATTCGCTGCTACACTAACCGATGACATCAAGAAGGACTACAAGAAAATTGAAACGGAGTTCAAGGGGTATTGTAAAGGATTAAAGAACAAAGAAAATAGATTCGTAAGTAACATAATCGAAATGTACTAATGCAATTAAAATCAAACAACACATTTTAGTGCTACTATTTAGGCGGATTGGAAGAGAGCGCGACAGGTATCCTAGGTGAAATGTCCAAGCCCATGTCTTGGTCAATGCCGTCTGATAAAATCTGCGAGAAGCTGAAGAAGAAAGACGCCCAGATTTGCGAGTTGCGCTACGATGTCGAGATTGACCTTAAAACTGTGGATCTAAAGAAGCTCAAAGTGAGGGATCTGAAGAAGATCCTCAACGATTGGGGTGAGGAATGCGAGGGGTGCATTGAGAAGAGCGAATACTTGCAAAGGATAGAAGAACTAAAACCGAGACACACTGAACTTTAAATGACAGTAGTTAAAGTGTTATCGAGATACCTGGACGATTTTTTTTAGTTTTTTTTCTCTTTGGAGCGTATTGGTCAGTGATCGTGTGATATTCTTTAACAGATGATAAGCAGCATCACCCAAAGTTTGTCTGATTAGTGAAAATTGTTCATTTATTTATTGCATTTCTTTTGAAAATGTATTGATTTCATAAGGTTCCGTTTATTATTATCTCTAATTAATTTTTTCATTACAGAGACATAATTTAGAGTATTTATTTAATGATATATTTGTTATATTTGTAATAAATATATTGAAAACATTAATAAGTGGTTTTCATTCAAGTTTTATGCGAAACTTAAATGCAATTCTTTTTTTTTGTAAAGTATTGCGTATATTATTATATTATGCAAAGTGAATTGTTTGGCCGATCTTTAGAGATGGAACATGCGTCACAAATAAAAATTCCTATAAATAAATGTTTAGAAATGTTTTGTTTTCGAGATGCAGGATGTTACGGTTAAAAAAAAATTGAATTTTTTAATGGCAAAAAGGCATCTGAAACTTGAAATTTGGCATATTAGGGAAAATTTTTGATTGAATGTACTAATTCTTATGCCTCATCTTTTTCTGAGTTATTTAAATTGTTTTTAAAGGTTTTACAAAGATGCATTCTCACTACATGATCCGATGCATCACTTTCTTGACAAATGATAAAATAGTGGACCATGTTCGATGTTCCTGCTGTTAGAAACATATTCATATTTCAATCAGGGCCCGAGAACTTATACTTGAAAATATGGGGAAACTGGGAACCACGTGACTTGAGATGGATATACAAGTAGGGGAAAGAGTCTATAGATGTTGCACAAAGATTTTGTAGAATAAATTTTGACAATTGCAATTATGAATCATTTCATATCATTCTTGTTCATGTTTATTGTTGGTTAGGTTTGGCGAGTGTTGGTGTGTTTTATTTGTGTTTTTAGTGTGTTTTATTAGATATTTCATTCACATTTATTTATATAACATAATAATGTCTGATCATCATATAATCACATTTTTTTATTAATAATAAAATGTTTTGTTTTTTGTTTTTTTTTTAATAAAAAAATGTGATCAGAGGTAGGTAGTTTTTTTTATGGATATCAACACAACGAAAATTTAAAGTTGCATAATAAATCTCTATTACAAGAATTAATCAAAGATTGGTTTAATAAAATTATTTACTTGTAATATTTTTTTATTCACCGTGAAAGCTAATACAATATAGAAAGCACTGAAACTCTATAATCATTTTCACTCTTTCTTTTTTCAAAATATGTACTGAAATTTGAAATTTTTTCAACAAACATTTTAAAAAGTTACAGTATCAAAATTATATCTTATTTTAAGTAGGAAGACTATTAGAGCATTTAAAAGTGTCTTTAATGCTTGAGTGATTTTAATGCTTTTTATCAAATGTACTTATTTTCTCATGGTGACAAAAAAAATATCTACGTGAAAATTATTTTACAAAATCAATTTCTGAGTGATCTGTGTAAGGTGAGATTTGTTATGTAATTTTAAATTTAGCGGCGGTGAATACCTAAAACAAATATTGAGTAGGTAGGTATATAGTTGTAGAGCGTACAACTAGATGGCGCTTGCATCTTTAACCGGCTACAGGTAATTTAACTCACTGTATTACCGATAATTCCTAGAAAAGGAAAGCAATAGAAGTTGGAGAAAGTGTCAACAGTTAGCGCTGTTAATGACCACGAAATCTGTTCAAGTTTCCTATCTATAGTATCATTTATCTAGGATTTCAATCAGTGAAGTGGAACGTGGTGGAGTGGAAGTGGAACACTTGTGTTGGTTGACCAATCAAACTACATTAAATGGTTCCTAAGTTTCATCCTCTGCCATCTATCGCTTAGAAACTGCACTGAACGACGAGAAAATTCTTTAGCCAACTGAAACAGCTACCGTTGTCCAGTAGAAAGTTAATTGAGCTCTTTGTGTATAGATGGCGCCGTATGCTATCTTTTTAAAAATTATTTGGAATATAAACACATCGGCACAAAATATAGAGACACATCGGTTAAAAACTCGGGGGACTAACACACAGATTTAATATCCTACGGACTAACACCACGGATGAAAAATCCATATCATATATGTGTAGACAGTACTGATCTATAGGCTAAATTAGTAGTTGATTTAAATTAATTCGAAAACTTCTCGTAGTCGAGAAATCACATTCGCATATTTGCTAGGTAGCCGGACAAATATCGAGAAATATAAGTATTCAAGCACACAGTACACGTGATTGTATGAGAACATTTTTATTAATTTGTGACATATTCGCAATTAGATTGTGCCTAACCATTTGAGTTACATGCACCTTGTAGTAAGTCATAAGTCATCGGTCACATTCGCGAAAATGACCATAGAACAATTAAATAACAATTTTGTCCCATATTTCAATAAGTTGGAATTCAATATGCAGAATACTAACCAAAATGAGAAGGCAGTTATTATATTACAAAGTATAAAAACAGTTTAGAAAAAATACCAATTCAAAGGAACATAACTTGAAATTTGAATATATCCGACAAATGATTAAAAATAACCAATCACGTTCCTGGTAAATTATCGATTTTTAATGACCACTACAAAAATTATGTATTATGAAATGTTTTTGTAAATACATATGCAACCATGTATATAAAGCTGTGTATATCTATCTGCCTATAATTAGGGCTTTATAGTGATTTTATTTTAAAATATAAATTTATTTGAACATTAAATTTTTACGAACTCCTATTATTAGCAAACGGGTTTATATTTCTGCAAATTAAAAATAAATAGTTTAATTTGCAGGTTATAATTAAAGATACGTTAAGTAAATTAAAAAATAAAAACATTCCACTCACAAACAAGTTTGTTAGACAACTAGATGCCATGCCACTAATGAGACTCGAGAGACGTGATAAGTGCTCGTTAATTAAAAATAAATTAGTGTAGTGGACTATAAATCCCTCTAGTTCCGTTTTGGCAACGATGCGTGTCATGTTTTAAATATAACCCGTCAGTACAAGTACAATTAACTATTTTAAACAACAAAGAGGCAATGCAGGGACAACTAAATAATACTTAAAAATTCAAAGCATATAGCATATAGATCGATTATTTCTCTAGCCTACTTCCTATTTTAGTTTTTGTTTATTACAAACGTTCTCCTACTTTTCCACTACTTCTACTACTTTACTTTTTTAATTTATCCAAGTTATTTTTTGTTTTTGGTTATGAAGTAATCCAGTTTCTTATATGAAAATGATGCACAACAGGCTAAATATTCAAAAACAAATACAAATGGATTATAAACTCTTTATCAAGTGCCTTCTTAAATTTGTTTCAAATATTTTTTCACGAAAAAAGCTTGATTTGCTATAGCGGAATAAATTTGGGGATATTCAAAATATGCCGACAATGCTGTCAGCAAGTAATCTAGTGTATTCCCTCTATGTATCTTTTTCATAAAAACCTAATATTTTTATGGACTTTATTTTCAATATACAAGATGTCGCAAATTTTGTAATTTTTTGGTTTCTGCATTTTCATTTTTAAGCCATTTAATTTAAACCATATCTTTCCTATATATCTAAAACACAACTTTAAAATTAAAAACTAGAGTAAAATGACAAACAGGCCGAACATCTCTAGACTTATTTTATTTCATAGATAAAAATTTATTTTTTACTTACAAAAATAAAATGTAGGCTTGTTGATATTTTTATCGTACCCCCAAATTTTTAATTATCAATTAAATATATAATTAAATAATTTAATAGGAATTAATTACTATTCTAATTCACTTCATTGTACTGTCATATTTTTCTATAGGTACTTATCATCGATAGTAAAGAGGATTCTGACTATGCAAGTGCAAGCACAACAACACTAAGCAGCAGTAATATACAGGGTGTTAGAAGACTGCCTTAATTCTAACAGACGATAGAATTAATTAAAATAAACAAAAAAAACTTTACGGGTCCTAAATTTCCGAGAAAAAAAATATCAAAATCTGCAACTTGATGTAAAAAAGTTCGATTAATTAAGAAATATTGGCGTAACTGTGTGCATAGAATACCATAAAATACAATGTTTATCACTTTTTTAAATTTCTTTATGCTTAACTCTAAAAAATAATTAGCGTTGTAATAAATTTAAAATCGATAAAATTCATATCGAGCAATGTGACAACGGCGCGGCGGATAACACGAGGTACTAAGCTGTCCAGCATTACGCAATTCCGTTTGTATCTGGAATTGGACCGTGTCTGCGTGTTTTTGCGTACCACTATTTCCTTTTCTTGAGGTGTTTTCCAGCAAGTGTGCGAAAATTGGATTCGGTGGTGTCGTGCGTGCATCGAAAAGGGTAATGGACATTTTGAGCATATGTTGTAGTTTGTTGTGCGTTTAAAAATTACTGAATTTTACTTTTTGGTAAGTACCTAAATTATTTTTAATACCTACGTATGATTATTTGGACGACGTGAATCTTTGGGTATACTTTAATTACATATTTTCCAGATACGTAATTTGATTAAAAGTTAAGTTCCTGTTTTAATAGATTCATAATTAATAAAATTCTAGCTAAAATTTAAGCACAACACTATCTTCGTATTACAAAATCCATACATTTTATTTTATTTATTTAAAAACTGGAAACAATTGTCTTGAAATTTACTAAATGTTTCACAATAGTAGTTATTTACATTTGTTCCGTAGGACAAGTCTGTCGTGTGCACACGTGGTATGCACCCGCTGTTTAGCATTAGGTTAAGCGCTGTTGTCACGTTGTGATGAAACTCCCCAATATTAATACTCGCTGCATTTTGAAAATTGTTAATCTTGCGCCACTTTAAGTACAGGCAGTCAAACTTCTTACACCCTGTATGGCACTACATAGAAAAGTACGACCAATCACAAACCTGATAGAAAATATGCGATTTACGGTGCGAAATTTGAAATATGGCATTATCTATCTAATTACATAATTAAAATGAATGCAACTTTACCAAAATTAATTTTTTCGTTTTCTTAAATTAAAGAGAAATGGACTCGGCTGACAATGGAACTAGACTTATAAAAGTATGTTTTTATAAAAGCATCATTTTATTATCAAATATTGAGAATTATAAAGATCACATACAAACTTTTTATATTGTACTAAGCCCAGAACAAACCTGGACGCAAACTCGATTCATCACAAAACCTGTGATACTCTAATAATATATACAAAACAACTTAAACAACAAAAAGTCACAATAATCAATAAATTAAACGCATACACACAGTCAGCACTCAACAAAGCACACAAACTATTAAATAAATATTTACAAACAGGCAAAAATATCACAAATTTTTTGTAAAAAAAAAACAATTTTCCTCATAGCAAAGAAATGGATCAGTACAAACTGCTGGAAACGCCAGTTTCCGAAAAGAGAATTTGAACTGCTTGCCTCAGGTGAGTCTACAAATTAGGGATGGGTACTTTGGACAACTTATATTGCCTCAGATCCTCATCAATATGCAGGGGCAACTCCTTGTCTACAGGGGTACCATCAGGGTACACCTTGAACTCCACCGGCCCCGTCAGGGGTATATCGGGAATGCTCTCACCTGTCACAGGGGGCGAATCAGTGGTGTAGTGCTCCTGGAACTTTTCATAAGCCCCCTTGTCTTCCACGGGTCCATTCACGGCTTGCAGAAAAGTAGCAACGTTGTGGGGGAAGGTGACGTACTGGGATTTACCGATTTCCACCTTCTGGACGAACCCCTCTGGTGGCGGCAGGCGGTAAACGTTGTCGATTTTCGCGGAAGCCGCGCTTTCCGAACCGAAATCGGCGTAGGGGTCGTCCCCGAAGGATTCGTCGTCGTCGTAGCTGTTGGGCTTAGCCGTGCTGCTGGAGGAGCTCACCTTTGGCACGGAGTTGGCCAGGGGGTGGCCCTTCATCAGGGAGGTCCAAACTGCAACAAAAAAAAATAGTTGTAGAGGAATGTTGAGATTGTTGAGCAAATAAATCACAGAAACATGTATTCTTGTTTATATGTAATCTGTCACTTTAAACTCGATGATTCTTATATTATATACAAGTGTCTAGATGCAAGGATAAACCCTCTAATCAAAATCATCAGAGTTTAAAGTGACTTTAGAACACTAGATGGTGAGTATGTGGGTACACATGTCAGCAAGTGACCCATTTAAGTAATACGTCTAGAGTGCACCCCGGTTCCAGGAAAGGTCCACGGCAGATTGTCGCGAGGACCAGATACATATACATGATAGCGCTACACCAACCCTCAACTATTATAAAAAAACCTTGTCTTAACTGACAATGGTGTGGCAACATTAAAATTAAAATTGGTATTTGGAGCTAATGAACACAAAGTATTGTATATTTCCAAAGTTAATGTTTATCTAAGAAAATATGTAACTACTTACTACTACTTTAGTCGTAAAATAAACTTGTCGCACAGTAAAATTAAATCGAAAATAATTCTAAAACTGTTCGTTTCACAAAAAAATTTATCTATAAGAATTTTTTGTTACAAATAAAATATAATCATTAAAAGTCAAGAAAATTCAGTGGCGTAGAAATTTGCCCCTTGTAATTCCTTAGAAATTTTAAAATTTCTACGCCAATTACGAAATTATATCTAAAAAATATATATGAATATAATTAATAATTTTAAAATTGTTTCAAAAATCAAATTTAAGGGCCTATTCAAATTCGATTCTTCCAAAATCGCATCGGAAATTTCACGAATTTTGTCAATCCAAACAAAAGCCGACCAAATCCTTGTTGATATTTAACATGACTAAAAAATTTAGACCGCATTTAAATATACCAGTTCGAAAATAAGTTTCTAAAAATAGCATCCACATTTTAGCATTCCATCTGAGTCATCCGTGCTTATATCCTTTAAAATGTACGATTCACAGAAACGCAGTCGTCGCCGAAGGACAACTCGGTCCCGATCTTCATTTTTTCCCAGGAAACGCTACGTGACCGAGTTGCGAAACAATTGAATTCTATAACACTTACTTATCGTGTTGGCGTCCCGCTGGTAAGGGTCAGTGGCGTCCAGAACGTCTTCGGACATGCTCTTCAGCGTGCTAAGGCCGTATTTCAGGAGTTCTTTGTTACAGTTCTTCAGAGTGGAGGATTCACAGAAAGATTCCACCTGGTTGGCGAATAACGAGTAGAGGAAAGACATCTGAAAACAAGAGGATAATCGTTAGAGACCGATGGTATAGGATAGGGGAATTCTTCAGAGATCAAGGTTCTGTTCTCAATAGGAACAGCCGATTCCCATACATAATAAAATCCGTATCGAATGTAGAACGTTACGTAAGAGCCAGTTGATTTTGAAAAGTTAATAATAGAGGATAACAGTACAGATAACTGTATTATTGGACTATTTACATAAAATTATGTAACTGCCGCATAAATGTTACATATATGCGCATAAATGTATGATAATCAGGTTGTGGGTATGCAATTTTTTCGAAAATTGTATATTTATTGTTTACCGATTGAAAACAGTGATGGAAAAGAGAGATTTTGTTTGTTTTGGTGGCTGGCGAGAGCAGAATTTATTTACTTGACCTCCTTTATCAAACTGTGAATACTAGACCTGATTGCTAAAAATACGAAGTCAAAGTCAAGAAGAGAAACGATTTTCCAAGAATTTTTTTCAAAATAAAATTGTTGTCCTTATATTATAGAAAAATAAATAAATTTGTAGCCATAAATATACCAATTTTATTGTATATCATCTTAAATTACTAAAATAGTCTCTTCAAAAATCAATTAAAAAAAAAACTTGTAAAAAAAATACTTACTTTTTCCTGCTTGCTGAGGAATTCCCACATAGGTATCGCGGATGCGTTCAATTGTCCAAAGAGCACACAGAAACACAAAACGAAAGAACCAATCATGTTGGCGTGCATTTTCAAATTCAACTGTTTCGAAAAAAAAAAACAAACACACTCTTCGTACTCGGTAAAGAGAAAGTCTATCTAGTACACCGTGTTCACACGTTGAGAGGCGATTCTCATCTGTTTGGCTCGGTGCCGGGTCGTTTGTTTTATAGAAACGGTTGACGTCACTTACCGGATTGGACATCCCGAATTAGTTTTAGATCTTCATTTGTTATTATCAGTATAAATCATCGGGACAAATGTAGTATTTCAGTTTTTTGTGTGTTGTGTATAATTTTCTACAAATGGTGATATGCCGGCGACATTCCTCGATGATTCGGTGGGTTTTTCAATTGGACCGAGCAGAGGGTAGTTTGGTGTCGCTTCGGTATGGTGCTCATTATTTGTAAAGTGTATTTTGGTAGGTAGGTAGGTAGGTAGGTAGGTAGGTAGGTAGGTAGGAAAATAGGTTTCTTCAATTGTGTGGTGTTCATTTAACAAAAAAGGAAAATGCAAAACAAAGTAAACAGCTCTAGAGCTGTTTATTCTCTAAAGTATCAGTAAATAATTGTTACTGTACAGAAACTAACAAAATAACAAATTTTATAGTGCTATATTTAATGAAATGTTTCCGTGTTTCTGAAAAATGTTCATTAAAGCTATTAAAGCACGATTAATAAGGCTTTGTTTATGGTTACATGATGCTTAGTTTTTCCCACACACAATTAAGTCAATAATTAGTTTAATGATACCGGGTACGAACCGTGAAAAATTCGCTGAAGGTCACCTTTCTTCATAAAAAATTCATAAGGTAAAACAACGATCTCTATAGTTATGTTAATTTTAAGGGAATTGAACAAAATAAAGCAGATGTCGATTAAATATTTCCGAACTCGACCGGATTTTGCACTTAAATTGTAATCGTTGACTAGAACAGGGCCGAAAACAGGCCCTTGGAGCACTCCTTGCAAGAAATTGAATAAAACATCTATAACTTGACATGCAGACGAGAATTATGATGTGAGTAATATATTTCCACTGAAAGCCACACAGTATGATTATTTAAACAAATTACTCAACGCTTTTTTTCTGGGCCACTTACAACCATCAAGTTTGGCTGTCCAAATAAGTTAGTCACTATCTTTTTTGAAACACATAATCATTCGACGATAAACATCCATTCTCATTGTGCAAATTAATTTTTAATAGGATGAATCAGTAATGATAGATCAATCGATTGAGAGTTCGTTAGTGGTAATGATTCGATTGTCAATTTTTTTTCGGGTATTACTAAATGTAAATATCATGCTCTTTTTTCCGTTGCGGTTGAAACGTTAAGGCATGGTTATTTTTATCGCGGCATCATATCACGGTTATTTTAGTAATTTGAGTACACAACCCGGCGTATGATCGTTGCTTACCCTGTATAGGAATATATTGTGCCATAGAAAGCAGCAATAAAATGTGTTGTGTCTAAAGATATTTATGAAACTCATATTTTTCTACTTTCTCTTGATGAGAAAAGTTTATAAAACAAGTATATTTACTGAATTTTATTTTTTTATCGGCTTTTTACTGAATTCAGATTAAAAAAATATCTGTTATTATTGTTATATAGTTGTCTATGTAGGGTGACTAGCGGGAAAGTCTACAAACTTTAAGGAAAAAATAAACAGAACAGTGTTTTGACTTTATTTTTAAATATTTTTTTTGACTCTGTTTTAAGGATATTAAGCAAATTCAAACCATTTTTTTTAAATCGTATCAAATGAAGTTAAATAATATATACAAAAATACATAAGTACCAAAGAAGTATTTTGTATTTTTGTTGTTTCTCTCATCACCCTTGACAAAGATGAACACGTAAAAACAGCTGCTACAACGAGGTCTTTTTGTTTTCACATTTTACTTAGAATTGTGTCAACAGATATAAAATTAATTAATATTAATATAACAAAGTTATACAGGGTGTCCCACCAGGAATCGCCGCTATCGATAGCTCGGAAAAGTCTTCGTTTTTCTGGATATCGAACAGCAAATTCTCTACATGTTCTTGAAATTACTTTGTCACATTGTCCATAAATGACAAACAAATTAAAATAATCCATACTAGAATAATTTAAACGATCCCTAGGCATTTTTATTTAAATTTTTGGAAAAACTATTACAGACACAACAATAATTTGACAACTAACTTGACAAATGTCAAGATATTTTAATTGTTTTTAGTGTTTCTGATCATGGCCAATTTGATAACAGATCTGATACGAGAAAAACTGTCTAAAAAATAGAAAATTATAACCGTATAACCGGAAGTGCCATAAGGTTCTAAATATTTTAGTTGTGTTGGCCCTACTGCCTCTGCTAGGTTGCCAAATTATTAGATTTATCGAATCAGTAATTTCCGAGATATCGATAGTGGCGATTCTTGGTGGAACACACTGTATACAAAAATTAAACTTATAGAAAAATGACATTTTGAAACAACATTGTCAAAAACATGTATTCTGTTGTTAGCTCTCTTATTTTTTACTCTATGAAGTAGATTCAAATAAATTTCAAAAAAATGTTTTCATCAAAATCTTATCAAATCATTGTCAAATAATATCGCCAGAAATCCTATCTGTGTGATTAGACATTTTTTGTTTACCTAGATTTCTGAAATAGAAGTAAAATTCTATCACTAAAAAATAGTTTTTAAAATTTTCGTGTTTTCTTAGATTTTGGAATAAATTACATTATAATGATTGCAATTTCTTTTCGGTATACAGAAGAAATTATAGATTTTGAAAATAAATATTTTTTGTGAAGCGGATAGTTTTTTTGGAGATATTTTCCATTTATTCCATAATTGGTCGCTTACTTGAAATTTAAAATATGATAACTCAAAAATGGCTTGCTTTTCGAATAAAATGGATGAAATATTTTTTCTTAAGAAACACCAATTGGAATTAAATGCACTTATCCCATTTCTAAAATACATAGTGGCGTTGAAATTCTAGAATTCTTCTTAATAGTGCTCCCTTTAGCATCTCCGTTACCAGTTGATGTATTTGTAAATCAATTCAGTGATTTTTACCCATAATTAGTTATATCATTAACCCAAGTTTGACTGATTGACGTCATACATAAACAGAATGTGTTTTTTGAAATCGGAAAATTGTACGATTTATGTTTATATGAACTTTTTCCTTAAGGCTGGGTTTGTAGACAAGAAATCGCACTTTTAGTAAGACAATGACAGAACAAGTAGATCCATCTAGGAAGTGACGAAACGTAACGCTAAACTAGAAAATATACCTTTCCTTTTTTGTCCAGCAAATTTGAAAGAAATTCAATGTGTGTATGTACTCGATTTTCTGTCTGTTGTACCATTTGTACCGTGAAGAGATATTGTTTCGAACTTGCTTACATTTTCTAAAATGTTGGACAAAAAATTGCGCATATAAATACCCCCCTTAAGATGACATCTTCTAGATATTTATATTAAAGTTTGACCATAAAAACTTGACGCGCCCTGTACATTATTGAGTCAAAGAATAAAGAGCCATGTTGAGAGCTTATACAGATTACAGTTTTCTTATAAGGCCATGCCTTTTGACGTCATATGCACAAACAGTTGGATAAATTCGTCACAATTGTTTTTGTGGACATCGCCAAGACCGTCTCGATGAATTTGTATGAATTTCCCGGTAGTTATTTCCATGGCAAAGGTCAAAGTCCCTGCCGGTACGCTAATTGATGAAATTTAGCATGTCACTTGGATAGTTTTCTAGTTTCGTAACGCAAACAAACATTTGGCCGGGGTACTATTGTTATTCCGTCACTCTGAAGTTTACTGAGGTGAATACCCAGTATTTTGCACGTAGTGAACAGCTGATATCCATGATAATTTTCAGCGGACGCCGGTCGCAAAGGAAGAGGGTTTACCGGTGACAGCAGATAGCACATACTTGCATGATTTTCGCGATTGTGTAATGTTCTAGCGATTATTGTAAATGCCGTGGACTTGGAAATGTCACACTACAATTATAGAATGTCTGATGGATCGCACAGTGGTACTACACTCATAAAAATTTTTTGTCAAATTACACACTAGACTAGATCATTGGTTATTTTGTCGCCACAGTAGGTAATGTAAAATTACATTATTAGTTCCAAAATCCAATTTTTTTGTACTCAGTCTGTTTTTTCGATGAATGTATGTTCCGTCATAATAGGAATGATGACAGTAGTAACCAAGAATCACTAAAATTATATATTTATCTAATGAAATGTGATTTATGGATTATAAAAAACGTATTTATTTTTATATTATGAGCAAGATTGATAATATTTTTGATAAAATAAAACTACAAAATACAGCAAACCACCGTGATAGGTTGAACACCAGTCAGAGCGAATTACGTCACATCTATATAAATATCATTTTATTTCATTTGTACTTCGACCATATTCGCAGTATTTATCTTCGTTTAAATATTTTGTGTTTCCCAACTATCAGTTGCTTAATTTTGTGTTACCAAAACCATAATCAGGAAACGTTAGGTTTTTGAAAAGTTTCTAGAAGAAGGAAAGAAAAGAAAGCTCAACAACTGCGAGTTAATAAAATATCTAAAAAACTATGTTTGTGATCAAAAGTTTATCCATGTATAAATTGGTGCTGAAATACAAAGAACAGTCCTGCGACACACTTTTTAAAAAACTCGTATTGACTGATGAAGATGACATGAACGTTGAAGAGACGAGACCGACATCAGAGCTGTTTTTGACATGAGTTAAGATATAGGAGAGTGAGGGCCTCACGAGCGTTTGAATTTAGTCGGTGTAAAACCAATGATGCAACTCTGATCACGTATAGGCCCATTCAGTGATATATAATTTTCAACTTTTTTTTTCATTTTCTGATAGTATTTAACCACCTAAATATATTTTAAAAAATTAGGTCAATAGGATTAATAATAAGTGATATATTTAATTTTGAAGACCCTTATATTATATACCTATATTTTTAAGTGTATAAATAGAGTGTATAAGAGATATACATCAAGTCTTGTTGAAATACATTTTTCACACAACATATTTATTATAAACATAGAATGACTTGGAATACCTAAATACATTTTC